GCCGACGACTACATCACCAAGCCCTTTTCGCCGGCGGAGCTCGTTGCACGCATGCGCGCCGTTCTGCGCCGCGCGCAGCCCGCACTGGCCAACGAAACCTTGCAGTTCGACGATCTGGAGATGGATTTGGCGGCCCATCGGGTTCGCCGCGGACCGCGCGACGTCCATCTGGGCCCGACCGAGTTCCGCCTTCTGCGCTACCTGATGCAGCATCCCGGTCGGGTCTTCAGCCGGGAACAGTTGCTCGACGCCGTCTGGGGCCGTGACGTCTACGTGGAGCCACGCACGGTGGACGTGCACATTCGCCGACTGCGCAAGGCTCTCAATATCGACGACGAGGCGGACCTCATTCGGACGGTCCGTTCGGCCGGTTACGCCCTCGACCGGGCTCAGGCGGCCTAGAGTGCGATGATGCGGGTCGGCGTCATATCTCGGGCGATCCTGCTCTAGGCCGAGGTTTTCGAACTGCCGTTCGCGCAGGCACGCGACGTCGAGCGCTTCACGCCGAAATCAAGCGACCGTTTTGCGGTGCCGTCCGCGGTGCTATTGAGATGCGGAGCAAACCCAAGAGGAACCGCACGTGGCCCCAGATCATAGCGACCGTAGCGCCTACGACGACGGCAACGTCTTCGCACGTATCATCCGCGGAGAGATTCCCTGCGACAAGGTCGCTGAAAGCGCCCACAGCCTGGCGTTTCGGGATATCGATCCGCAGACCCCGACTCATGTTCTGGTGATTCCGAAGGGCGCCTACGTCTCGTCCGACGACTTCTCGGCTCAAGCCAGCGATGCCGAGATCGCCGACTTCTTCCGACTGCTCGGTCAGGTCGCACGGACCCTCGGGGCGGTCGAACCGGGATACCGCATCGTTGCCAACCATGGCGCCGACGCACACCAGGAAGTCCCGCACTTCCATATGCATGTTTTCGCCGGCACCGATCTCGGGCGTATGATCAAGCCGGTCGAAAAGCAAACCTGAGGCAGATACCCGGAAGCGACGGGCCGGTCCGGCGCCGCCGATCAGGCCGCCGGTCTACGCCGTTTGGTCGGCTTCGCTGCCTTGCCGTCGGCGGTTGTCTTGGCCTTGTAGGCACAGAGATCGTTGATCAGGCACGCCGGGCAGTCCGGTTTGCGCGCCTTGCAGACGTAGCGGCC